AGACCGGCTATGGAAACAAACCACTGAGAGGCTGCGATACAACACAGGCAGAAGGAGTGAGACACCATGACTCCACTATACCTTTACACAGATAATAGCTCATATATATAACCTTTTAAAGGGACACATGAATCATAAACTGTGTATCCATTTGTTAAAAGTGTGCTAACTAATGTATCAGGCAGCATTTGAAGTAGATGTAAGATGATTTTTTATGGCAAAGGTCAGTCGACATTCCACATGTTCATTTCAGTTTGTCCCCCCCGTTTACCTGCCGTTTTTCCTCTCGTCCTGTTTGTTCAGGAGTACAAGAGGAAGCAGATAGAGGAGCAGCGGCAGGCCGAGCGGCTGCAGAGGCAGCTGCAGCAGGAGCGAGCGTACCTGGTGTCACTGCAGCAGCAGCAACAGGAGCCGCCGCGACCGCCGCAGGACAAGAAGCAGCTGTACCACTACAAAGACCAGGCACCAGGCAGCAACGACAAACCCGCCTGGGCCAAAGAGGTAGAATGCACAGCCTGAGGCACACACACACACACGGAGGATGTATTATAGAGGGGATTTATGTTAGACATTTACAATTTACTAAACAAAATACTGATTTATGAACTTACTTACTTACACGCAGATTCAGAGGCAGCTCTGTATGTGCGCAGACACTCAGGTGAAGCTTTGCGAACAAAAGACAAAAGACAGGTTTACAAGTGAGAACAAGACTGAACCCGCTGAGCAGCTCGCCACTAACAGCTGTTCAGCCCCAATGACAGAGCCTAGTCGGTTGTAAACTCAACATAAGAACACAAACACGCCCTGATTGGTTGTTGTAAGAGGCTGCTTCAGGCTCCCTGGAGGTTAACAGTGTGTTTGTTTATGTCTTTGTGGAGTTCTTCTGCCCTCCAGGTATCTTCTGTGATGACACTTCAAATGACAGTTTTCTGTTTGTTTTTAAGGTGCAACAGACGGACGACAAAGCTGTGAAACTCCTCTTGTGTTTTTAATGTGATACTTCAGTCAAATGTTTCATTCCAATAATGTATTTTTTACCTTTTTTACAGAATTAAATAAAGTGTGAGATCTGCTTTTATCAACAGTTCTGAGTTCTGTGCACGTGTTCTGTGCACGTGTCATGGAGGTCCACTGAACTAGAAAACACCTGATAGAAGTCGTTTGTTTGTTTTGCTGTGCACACGTTCATGTGTCCGCTCTCTTGTAAACAACCTTGCCCTCCAGGTGATGCGTCGAGCTCAGAGCAACTCGCCTCGCATCCCTCCCAAGAAATACCACTCCTTCAACGAGACGCGAGACGTCAACCTCGACAACCTCCTCTTACTCCCCGGTTACAAACCTCGCCGCTCCCGCCCCCCTTCCTACCCCGCCCACGTCAGTCCCTCCAGGGATAACCTCCACGTGCCTCGAATCCGCGTCACCTGTGTCCCCGAACATAACCCCAACTCCTCTCAGCCGGTGATGCGCCGGCAGAGCCCGACCAAGGGCCCCGACTCGAGGGGCCGGAGCCCCAGCCGCCGGGTCAGTCGGAGGATGAACAGTCTCTGTGCTCCTCATTCTCTCCCTCCTCTGTTTGATCCTGCAGTCTGTGCAGGCTGACTTACTGACTAACCCTGGCTGGGGGAATGATTTCCTCTTAAATCACTCTTAACATTTTTATTTCTCTAACCAGGCGGACTCGCACGCATTAACTCTGGGCTCGCGGCAGAAATGATAATGTGGTCTTTTTCCTTTCTCATTTCTCACTGGGACCTTTTGATTAATTTCCTCTTTGATTTGTGCTGTCACTGCTTCCAACCACTTTCTTTCCAAATACTGACTCCCACTTGTTGTGTAACAGCACTGAATCATATTTTTTTATGTCAGCAGTCCTACAATGAGAATGGTAACATGCAGGTGTGTTTACCATGCTGTTACTTTTGTGCTAATTACCAAAAAACAAACCAAAGTATTCCACAAATTGAGGTTTTGACCTGATGATCTCACTATATGGAAAGAGAAGGGATCACGAAAATTGTTTGTTCATCCAGGGTGGGCCAGAAATGACTACAAATGTCAACCTCACGGTGGCGCTAGAAGGACATCAAGGGGATCACCAGAATCTAGATGTATAACGATACACAATCCACGACATGATTTTTGTTTTACGAAATTATTTTGAAGAGTTATTTCTCAAACAAGTCTATAAAATATGTTTCCTCTTATATTTTATCTTTTATTTGTGAGATAGGGTCTCCGAGTTTAAACAGGAGGGTGCATCCTCAGTTTCAAGATTTCATAGCAGTCCGTCCAAGAGTTGTTGAGGTATTTCAGTCTGGACCCACAGGCAGACAGAGTAGGCAGAAAAGTGCCATAACTGCCACTGAAGTGATATCCTCTAGACTGTTCTCAGAACCCATTTCCATTTTTCTAAGTGCCTTGTGTGAAGTTTTACTTCTCTTCTGTCCTGTTTCCTCCTCCACACTTTAATCTTCTCTAAATCGTCTGTATGTTTAACCTTCACATTGCATTTTACAGGTTACTGACACTGACTGGGTGTTGCAGGTTGAACTTTTACCGCAGTGGCTCTCAATCTGTTGGTTTTATCACCATAATTTAGAATATAAAATTACATTTATTGTAAAGTTAAGAATATCAACTTGGTCTGGATTTAGAGTTTTAATTTGGATTGGTTGAAAGAGTGAGACGCAAGTAAACGTCAGTTTGTTCCAGCTGGTTGAGAGCTGCTGTTTTATTGCATGTTGTGGTTAATATGGGATTGTATATCTAATGGGCACTAACTTCAACTACTGAAATTAACATGAGATTAATCTTTCAGGCTTTGTTTATGTTCATTTACTGACCAGGGGTCTCTTGAATTCCAGATTTTTAGTCTTCTTCTTTCTCTGTATTTTATTTATTTGTCCTTGTTAGGATGTTGAAAGTGTTAAATCTTGAGAGTAAGAAAGAAGTGCAGCACACTCTGTCTCCAGATGCATTTCTCTTTCATTTAGCTGATGACATTTTGGCCCTCTGGCCTTCTTCAAGATCAACAATCAAGATATATATAATATATATATATATATAAAAGACGTGGTTCGGGAGAGGGCCAATCCGCCCTTTTCAAGTGTGCATAAATTCTGCTTAAGTGTCCTTGAGAAACACATTAAATCTTCATCAGCTATGCAGCCACAGTCCTCTCTCCGACCCTGGTCTTTGACCGTGGAAGTGACAAGAGGGGATGTGATCAATAGAATGTAATAAAGTGCTTAAATGTTAGGAAAGATTCACGTAGTGAGGCGGCGGCCATACTGCAATTTATAGCACATTCAATAAGATTATTGATGAAGAACATGTTAATGCAAGGAGAGAATTAGCTTGACCAACCCCATTAATTGCGACAGAAATTGTGGGATATTGGGATTTGGGATCTGTGACAGGTATCTCAAAAATGACTGTAATCAGACAAGAAAGGTAATTTCACGTAGAGACGTTGTGCAACATGCATCCCATGCTACTCAGACAAGCAGACAAAAATAGTTAATATTCAAATGTTACAACTATTTGATGCTAAATAAGAGAATTTAGATTATTGGACAGTTATGGGGTTGTGTTGCCCAATAAATTCTATTGAAGGTTTGAGAAAATCCAAGACAGTTGGGAGTTTTCCTAGTTAGGTCAGCGTACTGTGATATGCCATGTTTTGTTCTTTAACAAGCAGCAACCTGCCAGTGAGTGACTGTTTATTTTGGGTGAAGAGTACATAGTCCAGAGGTTGTGTGTCAGACTTCAAACACTCAAACTTACCTAAATATACATATTGTGTTCCCAGGGTAATGACAAGTGCCCAGTATGCTCAACAAAGTGGCATTCCCAATATGTTTGTAAAAAATTAAGATGCAATGAGCCGTCTGTTATCATTCATTGTTTCTTTGAAGACTTAGATCTGCAATGTTCAACAAAACATGGGTGACTGACATTAGCCAAGTTATAGCAGCAAGTCACTGACCTCATTCATGGCTCCTAAGTGGTTATGCAACCTCAATTTGCTTCTTCCTCTGGGTGGTATCTGATAAGTGCTGAACAGTGTGTCTCCTGGCAGCAGAAAAGAGGAACAAGAAGTCAGGGCGAAGCAGAAAAAATAAAGAACACCTCCCAATGGCTCAGTATAGCAGCCTAAGATTAGCAATCAACACTTCCGGAGTGACTTTTAGAAAGAAAAAAGTAGTAGTTGTATTTTTTTATCACACAGTTTTTTCAGTCATATTACATTTGTCAGATATTTGTGTAAGAACATATACTTTTAAATCAGACAGTGCATTCCACACTGAAATTAGGTTGAGAGAAATATCAATTCAACTTCAAACTTTTATAATTTCTTACATAATTTTACCCAGGCAACTCAACACACGTTCCTCTGCTGTAATCACACACACACACACCATGTACACCTCCACTTTTTATGACTCTCCCTTCTTCTTTGATCACATCGTATTAGGTCAATTCTCATAAGCCAGGGTAGAAGCGTGGTAGTGTCAGTCTGTCGGTTCCACTGTTCTCCAGACTCATATATTTCAACTTTTGTACAGACATTCATGGTGCCCAGAGCATGAATCATACTGACACTGGCTTCTCCTCTTACGCCATCATCAGGTTCAAATTTTTATTTCTCTGATACTTTGGTTTATGATGCTGAATTGCCAAACTAGTGACCTCAGCCATCAGCCTAATTCCAATTCAGCAGTTATTAGCATGCTCTATTGCATTGCAGACATTAGCATTTAGCTCAAAGCACCACTATATATTCAGCCACAGGCAGCTGCAAGTGTGCTTCTATACTCTTAATCTTATTTAAACACACAGATGTTTCTATTTCATATTGTTTGTCAATCTGCTGCAACCTAAATTTATATATTTTTTTATTATTTTTGTCTCTTGTTTGCATTAAAATTGAGTGGCTTTTATCTGTAGTTTACCTACTTATTTACACATTCATTAATTTAGGCCTACATATACATTGTATTGCAGTTTTATTACCTATTTTCTATTTATTTTATTTATTTAGTAAGTATGTTGGCCATGCTTTAACTGAAGTGTTTTGAGCTTGCACGGACACCCAAAATTTGGAAATACAATCCATTTACTTTAAAGTTGTACCACAAAAGACTAGTGCAACATGTTACTGATGAATAAGAAGAAAACAATTGTTCTGTCTGAGTAATACAATGGTCTTTTGTTATGTGATGTTAAGTGATCTATTAATTTCCACAAGTAAACTGGTATTGTTACAACACTGCTAATGCAATAACCTTTATTTCTTAATCTTTCATCAGCACTGACTTTTTGTACCTTTCTTGTAACTTCAAGAAACTAAACGTTAGACTTGGATTTTTCATTGTTGCCCTGGTGATGGGATCCACCACGAACAGAACACAGGAAGTGTGGCTAAGTTATATTTTTCTTGTTATCATAGAACAGCAAAGGAAGTGGCACCCTCCTACGCCAAGCTTGTGTACAGTGTTATTTGGTCAAAATGAGGCTATAAGGCAATATGGTATCAGCTCTATCTCCCCTTTTTCTACATTAAGTGTGTTGGCCTTTTCTTTGGATTTGTTCCACCATTAACCTGGAATGAAAGCTCTGTGAAAAGGTGGTCTAACAAGATAGGCCGCCATCAGCTATAGTCACAGTAAATAAATCTTTTTAATCCGTCTAGGGACCTGCAGAGTTTATATGCTGGCTGTGAAGCATCACTTTTTAAAGTAAGTAAGACATGTTTCTCTCATATATTCTTTCTTTGTGACCCAAAATGTCTTTTTGTCAAAAATATAACAAACTAAATGCATTGCCTTCTCTTTATCTGTGTATGTGGAAACAGTATTGAGTCTGTATGTGTATCTGCTATCAGATATTAAGACATGGGTTAATGATGATATCTATGATGAGGAAGACAACATGCTGTTCTCTTATTTTGTGCAGAGGAGTAACCTGACAAGGACACAAAAGTGGTTCCTTTTTCAGACAGAAAATATTAACATACTTTTACCAGAATGGGCAACTGCACTCAGCTGTTAATAAAAATCAAAGGAGTTGTGGCAGATTTAACCTGGGTTTTTTGTACAATTGCAAGGCTGGGCTTTTGTGCCATAAAGTCATTAGTGTGATAAGGACCTCTAATTAGCCTCATCCTGCAGGCTTGCCCCATCCTTCTCACACCAAGATTAGAGAGGTTCATCACTGGGAGAACAGCTAAGTTCCATTTATCTCCATTACGTCATGCAGGCATGTTCAGTGAAGTGAGACGACTTTCTTTGTAACAGTATGGTCAAAGGCAGTATGGGGTTGTTGACCTGCAAAGTCGAGGTCAGGGTGTGTACTCATGCATGTTAACTGCGGTCGATTCTGACGCTCTCCTGTGGTTTCTCAGAGCACGGATGTACACAGTTGCTGTTGACCTGGTGCAGATGAGCAACTTATTGTCAACAAAGCACAAACACTCAACACTGCAGAAACAATACAGAGATGTGAATTAATTCTCACTCAGATCTGCAGCATAAACACGGCAAGATGCACAAACACAGACAGCAGATGGTTTGTGACGACAGCACTTTTGTCCTGCATCCCAACACTAGAATGCATGTTTAAAAATAATCAAATATTCTGGTCACTCAGCTAGTTTTACAATCATTACACTATCAGAGACATAATCACTCTTAAATTATATTTCAGGATAATTATTTTGGCTTCACTCTGAGAATTTGGTACAGTTGACCAGTCACCAGACTGAGTGGCTATAACCATGCATGGAAAAATCCAATGATAAACTGTGACAGTAATGTTAATTTCACACTTTGTTGCCAGTATTAACTCCTGATCACCTTACCACACAGTAAGGAGGACTTTCTGGCCATGTGACTATGTCCACAGTCAACAGGTATATTTGAAAATGTTAAAAATATCAATCTTGGTATAATGGGGAGATTGTCTTTTACAAATGCTAACAAG